TTATTATTATTATTATTATTATTATTATTATTATTATTATTATTATTATTATTATTATTATTATTATTATTATTATAATTGATATCAATCCCATTAATGCCATCATTAATATCATTATTACCTTTAATTTCATCATTAACTTCTTCATTGTTATTATTATTGTGATCACCATCAATACTATTAATATCAATAGCATCATTATTAGTGCCACTATTGTTATTGATTAGTTGATACCATTTGACTTGTGAATTACAGAATGGACAATTTGTCTCCCAAATTACCATGATATTTTCTGAATCGATGACATATAGAATTGGCTCCTTGCGTAGTGAACAAGGTAGTAATTCATTGTTGTATAAATAATTTTTTAATCTATACTTTGATAATAAAGAGTATAAACTAACAAATGGCAGAATGAAAAAATAAAATATTAAACAGACAACTAACGATATAAGTAATAGGAGAAATAATTGTGATTTTTTAAATTTCTTTATATTACGTATAAATGTTAAATGAACTAGTCTTCTTAGAATGTGTAAAAGTTTTTTTATAAAATTTGGTGATGTTGATGTTGAATTACCAACGCTACTATCAAAATATAATAAATCTAACGGATGATTTTTATGATTTTTTGATGATATTGGATAATAATTTGTAGAAAAAGAATTATTGCTGTTGTTATCACTACTATTACTACTACTATTATGATTATTGTTATTATATAATGCCACCATCACCACCATTTCTAAAATTTAAAGAATTTTTAAAGTTTATAAATTAAATTTGTAATAATATGCAGATCTATGAATCGGTGAATTTTTATTAAAAAAACGTTCAATATTAATTTTAATATTAATATTTTTTTTTTATTTTTTATTAAAATATAAAATTTTCGATCTTCCGAGAAAAAAATTTGTATTCATAACAATAATAATAACAACTGATAGCACATTCTGTAAATATGTCTTCACAACAACAAAATCAACAACAACAGCAGAAAGATTTAGTACCAAGAGATTCCAAATTGATGGAACTGCTTTTAAAAACTGCAGGAGTTGATGAATATGAACCTAAATGTGCTCAACAATTATTAGAATTTGCTCATAGTAAATTATCTTCAATATATATAAGAAGAAGAAAAGAAATTTTTTTGATAGATTAATGTGATATTTAATTAATTGATTTGAACAATTAATTTAATTAGGATATACTGTTGATGTACTTCAGGATGCTTTATCATATGGTGAACATGCTGGCAAAAATGTTATAGATGTAGATGATATTAAGCTTGCCATACATGGTCGTATAAATCATTCATTCACATTTCCACCTAGACAAGAGGTTTAGTATTATTATTATTATTATCATTATCATTATTATTAATTTTTGTTTAATATAAAGAATATTTATATTTATATTTTTTTTTTTTGAAAAAAAAAAGTTTTTAGTTCAACTTGCAAATGAAAGAAATGATGTACCTTTACCACATGTACCAGTAAAATATGGATTAAGATTACCACCAGATAGACATTGTTTAACTTCTGTGAATTTTCAAATTGTTCCAGAGGTTGTTATTATTATTATTATTATTATTATTATTATTATTATTATTATTATATTTACAAACAGTGCAAATTATATATACATATATATTAATAATTATTTCTTTTTTTTTTAAAAAAATTAAAGTCCACTTTTGATAATAATAAAACTAATATTTATAGTAGTGCTAATAGTAATCTTGGTTTAGGGTCATTAAGCATAAATGAATCAATGGAAATTGTTTCACCAACACCACCACTTCAACTACCTTCATCAACACCACCAATTCAGCCACCCTCATCATCGCCAAAAACTGCAGCAGCAAATAATTCAAAAGATTTTAACAATGATAATAATAATAATAACAATAATAGTGATAGTAGCAGTAGCAGTAATAATAAGATATTAGATTCATCTTTAGTAGATGAAGATTATGATATGCCAGAAATAAAATTTCAAGAAGTTGGTTAAAATATTTTTTGATTTGTTTAAATTTAATTAAAATGAATAGTTCTCAAATACAAAACCAAGTAATTTAACATGCTCAGACTACTTTAACAAGAGCAAATAGTGCCTTGATTCAATCAGATGATTCAGATTATTTACAAAATCAATTGATTAATCATTAAAGAACTATAAGTTTGCTGTCCCATTTAATTTATAATGTGACTGAAAGTAGCATTCATTATCAAAATTTTAATTCAGAATTTTAATTTATCGCAGCAAACATATGAACAATTAAATAATAAAATATTTCTATTAACTGACCAAATTGGCCCTGAAATGCTTTTTGTAAGTCCACAACTATCAGGCGGTAGACCAAAATTAGAAGTTTCTGAAAATGCAATAATTTTATTATGTTCAGAAGGATTCTCTTTGGTTGATATTGCCAATATCTTTGGAACAAGAATTACAACATTATATAGAAGATGACATGATCTAAATATTTTAAATATTCTTTCATATAGTGAAATTTCAAACAATGAATCAGATCAAATTATTTTGAATATAAAAGAGTCACAACCATATTCAGGTCAAAATATACTAATGGAGTGCTTTGAAGAGTAGAAGTGTCAGAATAACACATGAACATTTAATAGGAGCATTGAGGAGGGGAATTAATTATCAATTTAACCAATTTGTCAACAATTGGAAACATTTCAGATACTATATATATCCTTGAATTCAATCTCTTTTCCAAAACAATATTTTAAGTGAAATGGATGAATATAATGTGGATATGGATCACCATTAATAAGTGCCCAAGAAAGAGCAATTCCAAAAATTCGATACATTTCATGATAATCTAACATGACAGTATTATGTGACATTATCAAAAAATTAGAGTTGTATGAATCTTCAGTATAAGGCCCTCACAAGCCAGCTCATGAGGAGCTTTAAACCAGTCATACATTGTTTTTCACCATGAAACCATCTAGTAGCATGTGAAAATGTGCAAATAAACTTAAAATTTGTGTGGTATGTCATTCCAAGATTCATCCATATGCAAGGATTTGCTTTTAATTGAAATCAAAATAAAATTATTTAGAAAGCTTTACAAGAAATGATCAATTTCATTATGTTTATTGAAAATTATAAAAAAATATTTTGCTGATAATTAATCTAAGATAAAAATGAAAAAGTATATTGTGAAAATTCGCAATCAAAATAAACAATAATTAATTATATTACCTTTATAATTTGATAAAATAAAAAAGCTGTCCTTTTTTAAGAACTCAACAAGATTAAATTTATACAAATAATGTTAAAGAAATATGTCAAATATTTCATTGTTTACAAGCAAATTTAATATTAAATTAATAGTATCTACAAGTCAACTTCAAATAATTTTTTTATTTGTATCTTTATTGATCTCCATTCGATGAAATGGCTCTATTTTTTCGCAATATACCCATTCCTTGAAATTTGATGCAATTTATTTTTTTACTGAAAATGTGATCCAAGAGGATTGTTAGTTCTTGCTTAGTCCACCTTCTGACATACTGAACAGTTAATCCTTGTACATCGTCCTACAGTACACTTAGCTCGCTGCCTTGATCTTCATCATTATCATCGTCATCATTGTTGATTATTACTGATTCAGTTTCGACAATAGTGGATGTTGTTGTAGCTGTCGATTCATCTTGATTGTCAAGAGGTTGTTTTCCAGATGTAGTAGTGGATGTAGCTGTGGTGGTTGATGATGATGGGGCAGTGGCTGTTGTTGTAGCTGTTGATTCATCTTGATTGTCAAGAGGTTGTTTTCCGGATGTAGTGTTGGTGGTTGATGATGATGGGGCAGTGGCCGTTGAAGTTGATAATTCTGCTGATGACACGTTTAATTTCTTTTTTCCTCTCTTTTTTTCTGATTCAAAAATGTTGTCTTCAACTGTTGTTGCCACAAAGAATTCCTCCTCTTCTTCCTGGTTTCCTTTCTGACTTTCTCCCTCTTCCTCTTCTAAGGATACCGGCTGCAACTTTTGATGATGGTTGCTACCATCTTTGCGTCATATAAAAATGATTGCAACCACCTTTACGACCATTTTGTTTCCTTTTTTGGGTTGCGATATGGAACATTATCCTCTTCCTCTTCCTGACTTTTTTCTTCATTTCCTTCCTCTTCCTCTTATTCGTTACTGGAAATCGTAACCTTCTTTCTGTCTTCTACTTCTTCCCCTCTTCAATGACTGTAATATTTTAGAAGAAAAATGTAAATAAAAATGTAAAATGAACAAATCAATGATGGCAAATGAATTGAAATTTACTTTATTAACATCAGTTATGAGACCTCTTATTAATTCTTCTAAATCACCTCTTCTATTGTTGACTTCTAATACATTGTTTATTTTTTCAATTTCAAGTTCATACCTGTCACTCACCAACTTTTTAAAATCATTAATAATATTTTGAATCTATATGATTAATTATAATAATAAATCAGTACTTTCGAATTTGTTAAAATAAAATGATCAATTTTATATAATCTACTTACAATTGAAAAAGACGAAGATTCTCAAGATTCTTGGGAATGGCTAAGAATTAAATAAAAGAATTCTTAATTTTATTACCAACTAGAGTGACGGCAAGTGGCGATAACCACCACCACCATTCTTTTGATAAACACGGCCAACGCATCTTCATGATTATTTTGTTTGCTTTTTTTTTTACCATTAGATTTATTCTTTTTTTTTTTTTTTTATAAAAGAAGTTTGTTGATTTGATCGATGTGTACACATTAATTATTTATCCCATGGTGCGCCGCATCTAAAGACATCAAAAAAATTGCAAATCTTTAAACCCTGATAACTTTGGAAATATTTGTTGGTCCATAAAAATCTTTCTATTTTTGTAATATTTGGAACATAAGCAACAATGTAATAGAGAGATTTTTTAATTAGTAAAATAAAAAGTTATGGGGGTTTAAAATTAAGTAATTTTATTACTATGGTGCAAGTCACCTAGTCCCGCAACTTGCTGCGCCTCGTGGCCAATTTTGGGAAAAATATCAAAACTCAGAATTGTATAGTGCAAGTCACTTAGTCCCACAACTTTCTGTGCCACGCCGCCAATTTTGAGAAAAAATTTCCAATCAAAAATGCAATAAAAATTTTACAGTCACATGATTTTTGAAAATTGTCAAGTGCTAAATAAATATATTAATTTTTCTTTTACATTTATTGTAGATATGTAAATGATGATTAGAACAATAAACAACAACAATAATGATTATAGTGATGTTATTAAATATTAGTTAAAATAAAAGAGAAATTTATATAAACTGATTGATAAAACCTTCGTTAGTATATTTTGTTCATAGATCTTGCTTGTCCTTAAAGCTTACTTCGATTACTCCTACACAAACTATTAAATAATTGATAAACGTTCATTAGAATATTTTGCAAATTGCACATTTCTTTGATTAATGCAATAGTCTATTTATTAGATTTAAAATAAATGAACTTTGTATTTATTTTTTTTAATAATAAAGGATAATTCTCTTCCCGTTCATCTGGAAAATTCACGTGACAAAAGATCTGGAAATTTTTCAATTTTTATTTTGTTTCAATTCGTCTATTTTTGATATTAACTTTTTGTGTGTAACACGTCATTTTAGGGCTAAACATAGTAAATTCGGTAAACTTGTGCAAATCGTGATTTTGTAGAGGAAGGTCTTGGCTTCAAATACACGATTTATTTTGGGGTTTTGCATTTCCATTTTTGGAGAATTTGAAAATCTACACGACCAATAAAAAGTTATGGGACTAAGTGACTTGCATCATAAAATGTTAGTAATCTGAATGAATGAATGAATGAAATGAAAATAAACCAACAGTTCTAGTTGTACAAGAAAAATGAATTGGAGCTTGCAAATTAAAAATCAAATCAAACTGTTGTTTTTAAAAAACCAATACCAAGAATCGGTGAATTTAATTGCTTGTAAGCGGAGTTAAAATCACCCATATTTACCGTGCCAATGAATTGTTTTGATATTATTTGTTTCATATTAATAAGAATCAACTTCGTAATTATTACGGAGTTATTATTCTAAATCCGTAATTAATTATTATTATTATTATTATTACTATTACTATTATGGGAGTTAAAACCCGTAATAGTAAATAATTTCGACTACCGTAAATGTTAATATTAATATGATTGGCTCTGTAATTATTTATTATAATGTCTAATTGTTAAATAAAAATTCAGATTATTGAAGCAGTTCAAATAGAAGTGATTTCAGTTAATTGCTTATAATAATAAAGTAAAAAAATTATGGCTTAACATTCAGAAAGCCGGTTTATTTTTCCTTTTTGTGTATTGATAAATACATGAATATATGAAAAAAAATATAAATGAATTTTGCTTTTTGCCATCTTTACATATAGAACTTCTATCAATATGACAGTTTTATTTTGGATTAATAATGCTTGAATTTATTACACACATCGGAATTTCTATTTACATATTAATATTAATAATAGTGATTATTATTATGTTAATGTTAATAAATGCGTGTTGATCTTCGTCACGTAACTTATATTTACGAATTTCCCGTGATCTATAAATTACTATTACTAGCAGAAGACAAAAGCAGGCAAATATTGTTAGAGCAAGAGAAATTTAAGAGCTTTTTTACTCGTCACTATTAAAAAAAATGACGTTGATTCTAGTTGTTAGTTAAAAAATTATAGAAAATTGTCATAGCATTTTGGAAATAAATTCTTAAAATGCAACAATTGTTGTACCCAAATTCACCCGTTTTTTTTAATATTCATGGCAATGTCAAAACATTTATTCTCAAAAACCGATTTTGGGAATCCATCTTGACTTCCAATATAAATTAATCTAAAATTATATGGTGCATTATTTTCATTATAATGACCATATTTTTCTGGCCAATCAAATCAATTTTTAATTTCAAATTTAACAACTTTCCCTCTCGATTTTTGTCCTTGGACCCTTTTGAAGATGTAACTTGGGTTATAATCTTTTCAGAATTAGAATAATGTTGGAGAGTTCTTCATATAATTCATTATTAAAAGCTTTATGGCCTGATTTTCTCATAAAAGTCACCCGAGGAAATGTTGTTAAATCTAACAAATTGAAATTCCAAATATCAATCTCATCTAATTCTAAATCATCTCTTTCCAACAAGTTATGTTTCTTCAACCATTGGATTTTAAACCATTTCGGGTTTCTATAAATTAATTCCTTGCAATAATCATTGTAATGGACCAGACCAAAACTCTTTGATCTCAATGGACCAGTCTATTGCCAATCCCGGAACAAACCAAACAATTGATGTCTTGATGAAACTTTACAAACGCAAGCTATGTTTTCTTGAATCCATTTATTTTTTTTCATTGATCAAATAACTTTGTAAATAATCAATCAACCCTTTAAAATTTAATTCATCGAATGCTTCCAAAAGTTCCAAAAGTTCATCTTCATCCAGGTTATCTATTATACTGAATGGTAAAATCTATTTATACCATGTGTTGTACGAATAAGTCCCTCTTTTTTTATTTCTTTGGACGCGAATTATTCTTTTTGAAAAACGATCAAGACGAGAGAACCAGGCACCCATCGACAAACGTACTAGAAGTATTGTTATTTGGTTCCGAAAGAGAAGATGTGCGCTTCAAACCAGGGCTGGCAATGGACCAGTCCATTGAAACTATTGGCATATCATATTAAACATATTCAATATTTTACTAATGCTAATAGACCGGCCAAAATACATCAGCTTCAATGGGCCGGATTCATTGCCAACCCTGCTTAAAAAACCCCTATTTGTTGAAGGAAGTATCTTCATCATCATCACCCTATTCTTCATTCACTGATGATAATAAATTATTATAATCATAATCTTCTTCATCAGATGATTGTAAAAAATCAAATGTACCAGGTCTAGTCAATTTTCTACCATCATTTTTTGTCGTCAATGTCATGATTTTTATTTTTTTGACTATTTTACATTAAAATAAAATGAAATTAATGATAATAGTTACGAATAAAAAAACAATTAATCAATCTTGTTGATGAGAATATACTCACGCCGCCCTTTCATTTGTTGGACCCGCATGATTCACCAAAATTTCATTATTAATAAATTGAAAGGGAATCTAGAATGCCGTGGGTAGGTGGCAACATCGTAGGAAAGAGAAGAATAGAAAGAAAAATTAAAACCACCAATGCTACCATATCATCATCTAAAGACTTGAAAATTTTTCTTAAACATAAATCACGTCATGAATCAATTAAACATCCATTTTAATATTAATTACAATAGTACGATCAACCATAATAATACTAATATTTATTACCTCCAGTTAACATAAATCCAAATATCTAATGTCGATAATAATAATGGTGTGGTGTAGAACCATTCATTATCTTGTTCTTAAGAGATCAAGTGGGTGATTGTGATCTTCTATTCTGGATGAGTGTACCTTGGCTAGTTTATTCCTTTTTATTTATAATTAAACCACGTAAAAAATACATCCACGTAAATGAATAAATAATTCCAATTTCAAAATAAATAAGACGTAATAATGCATTAAAATTTGTTTTTAATCGTTGCAGATCATTTTAGATATTTATTATTTAGATAATAATAATAAAAAATATCGAAGAAAAAATATGCCACAACCAAAACTTAAGAAGAACTCTGGCCTCGGTAGAACAATTATTAAAGATAGATTTAAAGGTCATAAACCTAAAGATGGCGATACTGCATTGGTAATATACAACAACGTGATGATATCATGATATTAATGTCTGTTTTTTTGTTCCTTTAAAAAAAAGAATTATTAATTATTATTATTGCATTACCAATTATCATCATCATCATCATCATCATCATCATCATCATCATCATCATTATTATTAATAAGCATACAACTGACTTAAACGATGGGCCTAGCTGGACAAACTTACAATCAATAACACATCAAAAAGATTTGGATGAATTTCTTAGTACGGCACAATTAGCAGGAACACAATTTACAGCTGGTAAAAATAAAAAAATAAAAAAATAAAAAATTTATATAAATTCAATTTTATATAGTTTTTTGTTTTATTTTGTAGAAAGGTTGAATATTAAGGTAGTGACAAATCATTATGAGAATCCGTTTCTTTTGAGCTCTGAAAAAGAAAAAGAAACATTGGCAAGACATGAAGCTAATAAAGAACGATTGGTTATACCTAGAAGGTACATAAATGAAAGAATGGTGAATTAGTAGATGAGGAAATTGATTTATTAATATTATAATAAAATTGATAAACTGATTTTACATAAAATTTTTCTATAAAAGACCCAAATGGGATAAATCAACAACCCCTGAACAATTAGAACATGAAGAAAAAGAATCATTCCTAAGATGGAGACGTAAACTTGCACAGTAAATACAAATATAAATACAAATAACAAAACTATTTAAAAAAAAAAAGATAATTTATTTTTTTTAAAAAAAAAAAAATAGTTTACAAGAACAAGATGAATTCTTGTTGACACCGTTTGAACGAAATATAGAAGTTTGGAGACAATTATGGCGAGTAATAGAAAGATCAGATTTAGTTGTTCAGATAGTAGATGCTAGAAATCCTTTGTTCTTTCGTTCAATTGATTTGGAAAAATACGTTAAGGAAATTGATGAAAAAAAAAAGAATCTTTTATTAATTAATAAAGCTGATTTGTTGACTAGTAAACAAAGGTGATAAAAAAAAATAAATATAATAATAAGTCTTAGATAAATAGCAATAATAATAATAATAATAATATATATATATATATACATAGAAATACTTGGGCAGAATATTTTGATTCACAAGGAATTCGGTATATTTTTTTTTCTGCAGTTTTAGCTAATGAAGAGATTGAAAAACAAATAAAGACTGATGGTGATACATCTTCATCAAATGATGAGAATGAGAAAATAGATGATGATGATGAAGTTGAAGAAGAGAAGGAGATAAATAATAACGATGATGATGGTAATGACGTTAAGGGAGAGGAAGAAGAGAATGACCTTAAAATATTCAACATAAAGAATTCTGAAAACAATAAAGTAAAGATTGTAACAACAGAAGATTTAATATCTTTACTAACAGCAGAGGTTCAAGATATGGAAGGTATTTGATAATTTTAAATACACACACACACACACACACACATACATATAAGTACAAATATTCATATACACTACACCAATATATATATATATATATATATTACAATAGATGTTGATCGCAAAATAACGATAGGATTGGTCGGGTATCCCAACGTAGGAAAATCATCTACAATAAATACACTTTTAGGTGCGAAGAAAGTATCAGTATCATCAACGCCAGGAAAAACTAAACATTTCCAAACAATAAATCTATCGCAAAACCTCGTGTTATGTGATTGCCCTGGATTGGTGTTTCCAAATTTCGCGACAACAAATGCGGAAATGATTTGTAATGGTGTATTACCAATTGATCAGATGAGAGAACACACAGGACCTGCTGCACTAGTCTCGAAACGGATACCTAAAGATGTTCTCGAGACTATGTATGGTATTAAAATTTTGACGAAACCTGTTGAGGAGGGTGGAAGTGGTATACCAACGCCAGAAGAATTTTTAATCGCTTACGCAGGCAGGTTATATATAATTAAATAATATTGATAGACAATATAATTTTTTTTAATTAATCTTAATTGGTATTTGATTATTTTTAATGAGATTAGCTGCTAGAGGATTAACAAAATCTGGACATGGTAATTATGATGAATCACGTGCTGCACGATATATATTAAAAGATTATGTTAAAGTAATAAATTTATTTATATGATGGGGTGACTTTCAAAGAATTATATATGGTTTAATAATAATAATTTAATTTAACTTAATTTAGGGTAAATTGCCATTTTGTCACCCGCCACCAGATAGCAATATTTCCATAGAAGAATTTAATATGGAACTTCATGATCCAAAATTATATCTTAAAAAAAATAACAACAAAAAAACGATTACATCATCTAACATCAATGATGCTAAAGAAGAATATGAATATGATGATGGCATTAATGACATTATCATAAGTGGTGCCAAAATTAAAGGAAAATTTTCAAAAACGGTCAATGAATTTAATAGGGTAAAAATTTATCCAATTAATTATGATATTGATGATAATAATAATGACAGTAGTAGGGATGTAGGAAGAGCTGTATTAACAGGTAAAAAACATTTTAAAAAAGGGAGAAAGAAACATTAAAACATAAAGTTTGTAATTTTTGATAACGTGTATTACTATATTTAATTTAAGATTTTCTACTTTAATATTACTGTGTGCAAATGATAAGTTTTGATTGATTGACATTAAATTTAAAATTTTTTTAAAAAATGTGATCGATAACAAATTAATATATTGTATTAATGTTATTTGTCTGTAGTCAATTCAAAAATTTTTTATCTGATGTTATAATTATAACTAGGGATGGAAAAGTCCACAGGTCCGGTCAGAAGAGTACCAACCAGGTCCATTTTCTTTCGATGTATTTGTCTATCTACTTTGATAAATTAATCAAGAACGAGTTTTTTAAAGAATACTCAAACATTAAAATATATATTACAACTGTTGATAATGGAAACGCTAGATAATTTACTGCGTGCAATTAAAATTTCTCGTGTTACCTCATTATGGGGCGTGCACATGTAAATCAGGCAGGGTCAAAGAACCTTTTTTTAGTTTAGAAATATAAAAAGATCCAAATTCCTCTGTAAACAATCCTTTTTTTTTTTTTTTGGTTTATTTAAAGAAAAAGAAGGCCAGCAGCACATGGTATATGTACGTAATATTTATTAATTGCCCTTGTCTTTGTCCTTGAAAGACATACATAACTGATTGCATCCACTCTTCACCAATCAAACTGTCACGACCCGTTGAAAATACGATTATCATTAATGTCTATATAAAAAAAATTAACTTCCTATATTTTAATAACCAATCATCGTCAAACATATATTATACAATATTTTTAGCAAGACCTTATCTCTTTTTGTCCTGAACCCAAATCACTGAAAGGTTTAAATTCGAAACAATTGAGTTTAACGTTCAGAAGTTTCTGTAATATATCACCAGACAGAGAGATCAATTGCCAGATGAGGATGAATAATGGATCATTGACCTTGCTTGATTCAGAAATCGCACTTCCTTCCTACAAAATGATCATCTTTTGTTTTTTAGATCTTGTGTAACTAGTACAAATTTAGAAACCATCTGCAGAAAATTAAAGAAAAAAATAGAAGAAACTTTTTAACTCAAAATCGGCAAAATCCTCACCCATCAACTTTTGGTTTTATTAGAAAAAAAAGATATTTTTTATTTCTCACATTTGATCGTAATCAATAAATAAATATGGTAGGTACGTGGAAGAAAAAGAAATACTTGTTGCAAAATAATAATTAATGCGTTTTATTTGTTTGTATAACAAAAAAAGCCAGACATGTTGGTTTATGACGATATGACGAGTGCCCCGCCCCATAAATGTTAAAAGCTGCATTGTCTATTACTATAAAAAATAATTTGATGTTGACAAAATGCATTAATGAAGTAGTTTATTATTATTAAATAATTAAATATTATTATAAATAAATAATATAATCTTTTTAATAAATAAACAATATATTATAAATAATATACAAATACACATAATTTTTTAATGTATTATAAATATACAACAAACACAATTTTTTTAATATTAATGTATTATAAATAATATACAAATAATAATAATTTTTTTCTCAAGATTAAATTTCTCGTGTTGTATTACCAATTCTGAAAACAAACTTTTTTTAAGTTTTTACCCTTATCCTTGTAAATACTATTTATAGTTTGTTCAAACATCTGAAATTTGTTGTACAACTGCAAACAAAATCACGCTCAAACAACATTCACATTATTTATTTAATTATTCTAGAGAAAAAATAAAGGGAAAAGAGGAAGAGGAAAAGAAAAGAGAGGAAAAGAAAAGAGGAAAAGAAAGACACACACAAATAAGATATTAGGATTAATAATATAATGATAATAATAAGATTATTTAATTCAATTGTTTGGTGTTTTTCATGTAGAGTTGCATCGTTATCAATGATATATTTCGTAATTTTTACATCATAAAATTTAATGTTGTTTATTAAAGAGGAAGTATAAAATAAAATTAAATATAAATATGGAAATACATTAAAAAAAATTTATTTTATTTATTTATTTTATTTTATTTATTAATTTTTTTTTTGATTTGTTCTTGAGAAAAATTTTAACAAAAAAATTAAGCTATTCCTAATTTGTAAAATTACTCATTTTCTATCGAATTTAAGAGAAACAAGTTTTTTATAAAAAGGACATTATCAAAATTTTCCCTCTTCAAAAATAAAAAAAAATAATTCCCTACGCACAAATCAATCGGGAAAAATAATAATCTCTTCTCTCTTCGCAATTTTTAAAAAAAAAAATTTTTTAATTTTTTTTAGTTTCCGTAATAGAATAGGTAATATTATTACTACATTGTTTTATTTATTTTCTTCTTAAAATAAATCAAATATTTTATGTTCGTTTCCATTTTCTTTTTTTAAATTTATTTTTTAATTCCAAAGAAAAAAAAAAATAACGTTTACTAACCTTCATATTTTTTTTTTCTAATTTATATTTTCCACATTGCCACCAACCACCACCATTACTACATTCTCAACTATCACAACTATATTTATTTTGATCAACGACGACGACAATATATAACCTATTACTATTATTAATAATACAATTATATTTACTGGCTGTATATATACATAACTAATGCATATTATTACTCACTAATGCATTATATACTAACTATATATACTATACAAATACTATTTATATCACTAGTTAGGTCATAAATAAACTTATATATCACATACAATAATTAATATTTGAGAATTAATAGACACTGCTTATTTTGATATATAAACTTTTTTACAAATCAACTATTATCACAACTATGGCAAGCACAACTTTCAAAGATTTCGGAGCAATTGGAACCAAAAAACCTTTTTCTAAAGCAGTTGGTGATATGACCGGCCTATCAATCAACAAACTTTCAGGATACTTGTTCAATCCGCAATCACCAATCTTGTCGAGTAATGATCCGATTATTGTAGCTGACAACAAAAAACCAATCAATGTCTACAGAACTACTAGTAGTAAACCATCTACTATTGTTAACGCTTTCAAAAGATCCGTTGGTGTCATTGGTGAACCAAAATCGTCACCCATCTCCATCCCTACCCCTAAGCCTTCCATCATCTCAAATCCATTTTGTTGGGACTCGTTATTAGGTGATCAGATGGTTGATTCTAACGGGATGATTATTGATCAACAATGCGATAACGGTACAAATGAAATTTTGATCGAAGGAAAAATTAATTATGGTGATGGTGATACTAACGGCGTCGGCATCTTGAACAACAATAATATCATAAATCCTGGTTACAACATTCTTGAACGATATCCAACATTGCTCGACTTTCCTTCTGATTTATCTTCGGGATCTGATTGCTCATCCATTGATTCAACATCGCCAAAGAATGACAAATTGTTCACAGCCACCTTATCGTCATTATGTAAACGATCTTCCGATTATGACGATCTCATTGTCTCCCTTGACCAGAGTCCAATCAAAGATGATAGTTTATTAACATCATTATTATTCTACGACGATGACGATGATTGTTCATCATCTAAGGCCAAAATTGCTAAAAGATCTTTATTAACTGCATCATTATCTCCTTCCTCCTTCTCTTCATCTTCCGCAGACACTAATGAACCAACAAAAAATTGTCAATCAACTGTCGCTGATACCAACTTTTTTGATTATCCTATCAATTCATCTGATTCTTCTAATAAAGAAAAATCGACTATTGTTTCTTCTGGTGATACTACAACCACTTGTACCATTGATGACGATAATAATAACGACAACACTAAATACAATGAGTCGGCCTCCTCTTCATTATCTTCCTCACCATCATCATCTTCAACACTCGGCAAATATGATTCTGATGATCCTGAAAATGTAAAATCCACCACTAACACCACTGCTAATAAAATAAATCAAAGAGTCCGTAGCAATAGTGATCCAGCTAAATCCACCATATCGAGTGATTCTAGTACTACATCTAATGAATCAGACAAAGAACAGAAAAAGGCTATACTTTATAAAACTGAAATGTGTAGAAATTGGGAAGAGCTTGGTACTTGCAGATATGGTCCTAGATGTCAATTCGCTCACGCTGTAAATGAATTGCGTCCAGTAGCTCATCACCCAAAATATAAAACTGAAATATGCAAAACTTTTTGGGATAAAGGCACTTGTCCATATGGTAAACGATGTTGCTTCGTCCATAACGTGAACAGCAAATTAATCAAAGGACTGACCAAGACTGCTAGTGATCCTTTGTTACATGGATCCTACACAAAAAACTTGACAACCGATACCGTCCGTGCATTTGCTGATGCTTACTTTTCTGGAAATGCAGCAGATGCCCCCACCTCTTCCGTCATCCAATCTCAACCTCGTCGACGTGTATCAACAAGTCGTTTGGCTTGTTTCCAAAAGATTGCTCCTTGATTGATTTATTCTTTTATTATAATTTTTTTCGCGTGGTGTCGTGATGTGGGAATTTTTTATATAGGAAATTATCATCATTTTATTTTAATTTTTAATTTTTTTATCGATTATAATTGTTACATATTATAATATATATACAACACACATCAAATTTTTTGTAAATATATTTTATTTATTTATTTATATATTGCTAATTTAAAAAAAAAAATATTTCAAAAAAAAAATTTTTTAGAAATTTTATAAAACTTCAAAAAAATCATCGTGTTGCTATTTTAGTAGTAATGGGATTAGTTAGCTCTTATTTTACTAAATTTAAAAAAAAAAATTTTATATTTATTTTGCTTAATTGGAAAAAATAGTTTTATAATAAAATTTAATTTAATTTAAAAAAAAAATCCATTTTTTCTTAAATATTTATTCAATACTTCATATTCATAATTGATGGTTTCCGATTTGAATATTGATTACTTGACAATTTGATGGGACTAACTGTTCCAATTAGGAATGAGAAAGAGATGTGATGGTTATATATAACACGTGATTAATTTTGTTCATGTGGCTTAGAATCTAGAAGAAAATTTTTTTTTTTTGAATTTAATTGATAAAAAAATGTCAAACTTAAAAATTTTAGTTGGTAATCAATTCAATTAACAACTTTTGTTTTATTCAATCTACTTGATTATTCAAATTTATAACACACACACATATATATACATGATTTTTTTGATTTTTTGATTTTATTTTAGGCTGCAAAAGAGTTATAGATTATGCTGTAAAAGTTCGTGTAAATTCTTCAAAAGCTGCAGTTGAAACAGCAAATATAAAACATTCATTAAACCCATTCGATGAGATCGCTGTTGAAGAAGCTGTAAAAATTCGTGAACGTTTAGGCGGAAAGGTTTCCGAAATTATTGCACTAACTTGCGGACCACCAAAAAGTCAAGAACAATTGAGAACTGCCTTGGCTATGGGTGCAGATAAAGCTATACACGTTAAAGTTGGTAATGATGATACTATAAATACCAAATTAGAACCTTTAAGTGTTGCAAAATTATTTAAAGCTATTGTGGAAAAAGAAAAGCCAAATTTAATTATTTTAGGCAAACAGGCTATTGATGATGATTCAAACCAAACTGGGCAGATGTTGGCTGGTCTATTGAATTGGCCTCAAGTAAGTCATATTGGCATATAATATATTTGTCACCGTTGATTAATTTTCATATTGCAATAATTTTAATCAATTTTAAAAATAGGCCACATTTGCTTCAAAAGTTGAAATAGAAGGTGAAAATTTAAAAGTTACAAGAGAAGTTGACGGTGGATTGGAAGTTGTTGCTAGTAAATTACCTGCAGTTATTACTACTGATTTACGGTAATTATTTTTATCATCTATATTGATTGATAAATTGGATATTGACTGTAATTTTTCCCTTTAGTTTGAATGAACCTCGGTTTGCCACACTTCCAAATATCATGAAAGCAAAGAAAAAACAATTAATACAATTTACACTGGAACAATTAAATGTAGATATTAGTCCACGCTTAGAAACAATTTCTGTGGCCGATCCACCTGTAAGACAAGGTGGTACAAAAGTTGGTTCTGTTGATGATTTGATTTCAAAATTAAAAGAATCTGGAATTTTATAAATAGAAATAAAAACAGTAAAAGTAGAATTTGAAAAATAATTGATTGTATATTATAACAAGAAATAAACAGTTAATTTAATCTACAAAAGACGTGGGTGTGATTTTTTTAAAAAATTTAGTGATTTGTAATCATAAGATTAATTAATTCCTTTAAAAATTATACTAACCTTTTATATTGAACCTATCCAAGTACAAGTCCTATATAGGCAGCCTATAATAAGGTGTCTCGGGTGTAAGCCCCAACGTCGCAAAGCGACTCTTGTTACATCTCTATCAATGGCGGATTTGCAAGATGTACATTTAAAGGTTTTTTAGTTTGATTCGATGACTTTGCAACATCCGTACATTTGCTAGTGTCTTCCTCAGTGCGAATGACAATTTTGTACTAAGAATGCTTGTAGAATTTATGGAGCAAATGGCTTTAGATTGGTAATGTGAACAGGTCAACATTTGTCTTGCAATTTACAATGGATTTGGAACATGCATCATGAAGCTTATATCTTGCTTTACCATGAATAGAATACCTTTCACTTTGGATTTCATCATAATATACTTGTCTCTTTTTCCTTGGTTACTGCTGTATTGGGAGAAATGATGCCAGCACCCCTGTTCTGAAGTAATCAATACCAATCAATTATTTATTCCTAAAATGTTAAATGGTTGGATTTTGAGAGCGGTTATTAGTTAAACATTATATAATCTTCCGATGACAATTAAATATTTATATATCTAGTTGCATTAAGCCATTTAGCAATTTCTTTGTGTTTAACGTGAACCAATGAAATGATCGACATGTGCTAAAAAATTGAAAATTGGGAATTGTATTTATTGTTTTTGGGAAACTTTAAAAGAAAAAATCTCTAAATTTTGCTATGTAAGGTGGGTGTGGTTTTTAAGCCGAGAATATCCCACATAAAGAATTACACGTAGAAATGGTATTAACTCGCAATTACTTTTCAATAGTAGCCAGTGGGGAAAATGCATAGTATACTGCTCCAAAAAGTTTGTAGCTTTAATTGTAAAGATTATCATCATCCCTCGATCATCAAACATATGTTACAAATTATTATGTGCGGATTTTTTAGTATCTTCATCATATATTCCAACCCAGTGTTGAGATTTCGTTGTGTAACTAATACAAATTTAGAAACTATCTCCAAAAATTAAAAATTTGATTGGGTGTAATGTTACACCCCCGCATTCCCCGCATCGAATTTTCAACAGTGATTCCAACATATGTAAATGTTGGCAACAAATGAATTATAAAAAGAAACTTCTATTAATTTAATAATAAATCGAATAACTTTAAACCATGATTATTTTTTTTTTCATAATAAAATTAAACAAACCTTTTTATAGTTTTATTGCTTAAATCTAGAGAGGTTTTTTCACTGTCTTATTTGGTTATAAAGTTTTTCTATTAGCAATCTTTTTTCAATTCCTTTAGAATATATAAAAAAAAATTTCTATAGTCTAAAAGTTTGATATATTTGCTTTAATTCTCCTTGGTTTCATGTTTGTATCTCTTTAATTGAAGGCTCTGATAGAATTTTTATTTATATAGTTTTTATATATATTTTTATTTTTTAAAAAAAGTTTGTTATTACATCATTTAAATTTTGATTTAATTAGGGCATCTCACACCCAATCTCTCACGTATTACATGGTCGAGATCTATTATTGTTATTTGGAAGGGGATTAATTAGGTGGGATGTGCAGATTATTGTTTCTGCAACAAGTTCTCTTAATTTTTTGATTGATGGAATGATGAATGAATAGCTTATACATTCATAGAATTAAGGCAAGACTTTCAATATAAATGGATTAGATCCTTCTACAAGAAACAAATATTTTGGATTAAAACTTTATATATTAATGGAATTTTCCTTCAAAATAATAATAATAAAGGTGGTGGTTACGTGATCAATCGTGCGCACAAAAAATTTAATTTAGATCAATCTTATATAATCTTTTTGGGGGGCGATTAATTATGTAATTTATTTATTTAAACAATCTGAACTTATTGTCGTATCTTGTTCATAATATACACCATTTGAAACATCATCTTTTGCAGAATCATTACGCGAATTTTCTAAAATTTTTAAATATTCTTCCGTTACACCACCAGTTATATAATGGCCATCAAAGACTGAGCAATCAAAATTTAAAATATTTCGATTAAACTTTCTACAAGATTCTATTAGATCATCCAATTCCTTTTATTATAAATAAATAACAGAATAAATGACAACACACATACATTAGAAAAACAATTATAAATTAGTTTACAGTTAATTACCTGATATATCACTTTATCAGCACCAATTTCCTGAGCAATTTTTTCATCATCACGATTATGCGCCACCAACTCTTGGCGTGATGGCATATCAATCCCGTAAACATTGGGATACCTTAAACATACATACATACACACATGGGTTTTAAAGTTAATGAATAGAAAAAAAAACTTTCTTTCGCTTAATATTAATACCTAATAGGTGGAGCACATGATGCGAAATAAACTTTTTTGGCACCAGCTTCACGAGCCATTTGTACAATTTCTTTAGATGTAGTACCTCTTACAATAGAATCTATAAACAATGATCTTGTTTTAATTTTTTCTTCCCTTAAATAAGAGCAATAAAATTAATAAACTGACCATCAACTATAAGAACATTTTTATCTGCAAATTCTAACGCCATAGCATTTAACTTTCTCCTTACATTTTTTCGACGCATTTGTTGCCCTGGCATTATAAAAGTACGTCCTACATAGCGATTTTTAATAAATCCTTCACGATAAGTGATTTTCAGTTTATAAGAAACTTGAAGAGCAGCCACACGACTAGTATCAGGTACCTATTTTTACCATAGATAAATAAAAATTAATAAATAAATAACTTGTATATAACAATAGCGATGTTAATAATAACATAAAAAAACATACAGGAATAACAACATCAATATCTAAATTTTCACCACATGTTTTAATCATTTTATCAGCCAAAAATTCACCCATTGCTAATCTTGAACGATACACAGAGATTCCATCTATTACAGAATCCGGACGAGCCAAATAAACATATTCAAATATACATGGTGAAAAATTCAATTTCTCTACTTCTACTAATTGACGCTTTGTAATTGCTTGTTTTGTGATGATAACAGCCTCGCCTTTTAAAATTTTATATTAGATTTATAAATATGATAAAAAAATACATAATAAAGGAAATAATTAAAGTTTTACCAGGATTTATATCAATGACATCTGAAAAGCCTAATGCATCCAACGCAACACTTTCAGATGAAAACATATAATCAGTACCATGGCTATTCTTCCTTTTTCCATAACATATCGGGCGAATTCCGTTTAAATCACGAAATCCAATAATACCAAATCCTTATAAATTAACAAAATATAATTAATTATCCAATTATTTATACAAAAACAAATCAACACAAATCAATATTGGTATACTAACCTGCAATCATTGCAACACATGCAAATCCGCCTATGCATTTTTGATAAATTCCTTTTATGGCAGTGAAAATATCTTCTTCATTAACTCTATAATAACGATTTTTTTATTATTTATTAATTTATCAGAATTTATTCCTTGTAAAAAAGAAATATATTTCACCTAAATTTTCCAATTTCTTGCAAGTTATCAGCAAATATATTTAACAACAATTCTGAATCAGAATCTGTATTGATATGTCGATGAGCTTTAACATCCAAGAATCCCTTTAAATCCTTTGCGTTTATAAGAGTGCCATTCTAAAATGATAGGTGTTTTTATGATGAATTTCAAATTTTTTTTTTCAATAACTTTTTTAATGACAAAATCAATAAATAAAAAAGTCATAAAAAATAAAGTAGTGTTTTGTATGTATGTTTATAGAACTCAACACTCCATATAAAGATTTATGAATTAATCATTAATTTTTGTCTCTTCAATTAACTAGCATACGTGGGCAAAAACTATACCATATGGGCTATTAACATAAAATGGTTGTGCTTCTGAACTTGAAGACGTACCAGCAGTTGGATATCTTACTATTTAATATGTATACGCATTAATTGATGATTACTTAGTACCATTAAAAAATTTTGATATATGAGATTATAGATACCATGACCAACACCAAGGCTTCCATCCAAATGTAATAAAACTTCATGATTAAAAACATCACGAACCATTCCATTTCCTTTACATTGATAAAGACGACCTTTGTGACCACAAGTAATAATTCCTGTTGCATCCTATGAAAAAAATTTTTGTATATAATGATACTTTATGAAACTCAAAATTACTAAATCAAAAGTGCTTTAGATTATTACCTGACCTCTATGTTGTAGAATTTGTAGACCTTCAAATAATTCTAAACTTGCAGAGATAGCAGGGTTTGTAAGTAAAATTGCTAGGATTCCACACATGATAATAAAAAAGTTTAAATGTGGACTTACTCAGGAACGATATTATTATGCAGTATCGATCTCACATGGTATTTGTAGTACGGGAGAGGTTACCATTACTGTTTAGTAACAAGCAATGGTATTTTTTACCACGTTCGTTATTGGTTATACCAAATTAGAAATATTATAGAAAATCGACCTTTTTAAAAATATTTATTTATTCTATTGATATGAACAGTGAATCTGGCAGCTATCTTACTGAAAGTGAATCGTGTCTCTCTTTCGCTCCTAATTCAAAAGCTGGCCCACTGATAATTACTAAAACCCATTCCTATTGTATGTAATAGGTTACTTGTTAAGTTTTTGGATATATGCCAAGTTTTATAAATAAATAATTCTAATATGATTGAAACTATAAAAAACTAAACAAAAGCCAGTAATTGATTCTTAAAAATAATGAATATGAATAAATTATTGAAAACTAGTATATAAAGTTGTATGGATTCAATTATATCGAATGATCAACATGCGAATAGCTTCCAACACAATCCAGTCAAGCTTTTGAATTCATGACGCTCACGTCGGAATTAAGAATTTATGTGTTGTCCGACACATCACCACAGAAAGTCCCAGGAAAAATTATTCGCCAAATTATAGAACACCTAAAAACCAACGGTTTTATAATGTATTTGAGATACTCCTTCACACTTCCACCACCACCCGTGATTCTTATTTTCCAACTCCATTCCTTCACCTCATTCTACACATGCTCTTCAAGAAGCTAAATCACTTTTTTCGCTTAACTGCAAGCCCAAAACGACTTATTGATCGTGAAGGAGAACGTAGGGAAATTACGGAATTTTTAACGAGTCATATCATTGACGGAAAAACCAGGAACTGGAAAAACTGCCTTGTTGAAAGGAATTAGAGAGCAAATTATAGATTATGAAGAACACTTTATTCCACCAATAGTAATTCCTATAATAAATTGTAGATATGTACAAAAATTTTTTATTGAATATAGATATTATAAGATAATGAAATAGCTCAAAAATTATCGTTTAATGATATCAATTGATTGTGGGATGTGGAGAGTTATTTCTCTATCTAATTTCTATTTTATATATATATATTATAACAGCTGCTCTATGTGATTTTATAAACTGTTGTAATTTAGATGGAATCGATTTTATAATTGAAAATGACCTGGATATCTTGCATAGTTTGTTTAGCTTGGCAAATAATAAAGAATCACGTCTATACTTGTTGGAATCTCTAATTTACAATTTTATCCATTTATATTAGATCAATGAAATGTTGGTATTCTTTTATTTTATTTTATTTTTTTAAATGATTTGTTTAATTACACACACGCGCGCGCACTACTGCATATATGAATGTGTATATATACAGGTGAACCGAAACAAATTGGTTTTACACCATATAATGATTCTCAGATTATGGAGATAATAAAATATCGTCTTTTAGCTAGCAGAAAAAGAAAATCCAATTATGATGTTAGAAAAATCAATATCATTGTCCTTGATGCAAGATAAAGCAATTGAGCTTTGTGCAAAAAAAAAAGTTGATTGCTTGTAATGGTGATTTAAGATTAGCATTGAATATTTGTTTGAACTGGTAGAAGAAGAATTAGAAGAAAGAGAAAAGGGCAGAAAGAATTAATAAAAAAATTTGTTTTTTCGGATTCTGAAATTCATTAAAAAATTTCAATGTCAGAAATTACACATATTCATCAAATTATTAATACAGATATCATCATTTCGTCTATTACAAATAGATTACAATCTTTGAAATCATGCACAAAGCGCATTATTTGCAATAGTATGTTTAATCAAGGAAAAATAGACCAAATAAAATAGGTTATTAATAAATAAATAAATAAATATTTTTTTGATTTAGATCAAGAATTTCTAAAGGCATTTTTTCAAAATGGAATTCCATTTACCATTGGAAACTAATTTGTGTTCTTTAAAGGCAACAACTGAAGTACTTAAAAATTCCAATGTAATTAAAATAACTAGAACTAATAAGATCACTTTGGTGTTAGAGCGAAAGATGTTGAAGATATCTTAAAGACAAGAAGACTTTATTGAGAAAGCTTTGGCGTTGGTTAAAGATTGATTGATTTTATTTGGTTAATTGGTTAATTAACAAATAAAACATTTGCTTATACCAAATTTTTTTAATAAAAAAGTACAAATCATTTATCGCTTTCATATCTTGGGTATTATTAAAATATTTGCAACATAAGAATTTTAAATAAAAACACACACTTATGACTCTTACTAGGGTGGACTAGTCATATTTCTACTAATCAAAATAAAGAATAGGGTTGATTTTCTTTTATCCCCAAAAATATATAGGGACAAAAAGTGCGTGCCAGCCGTTCCAATTAGCATAATTGGCGGCACATGATGTGGACCTTGCAATAAAATATGTAAGACCTGGATTTTCAAATAATACACCAAAATTCTATATTGAATTAGCTTGCGGATGCATGGATGTTAATCCGGATAAACGTCCAACTGCTGAAGAAATTTTTATTTTGGGATGATTCACTTTAATAAATAATCTTGACGGATATTCAAAAGAACAGAAGGATGAATTAGAATCAATTAGAAAAATGAAATGGATGAAATAAATTTTGATCCTTTGACAATTACTGCAGCAATTAATCCCAAATGCAGTTTAACTAGTAGATTGTTAAAATTTACAAGCTTTCCCTAACCTGTGAATTCCAACAAGTGACAATTATCAGTAATTATGATAATTATTAACATTCATTTTTAAATTTTATTATTATAGTATTTATAATATCCATTCTTGTGATTCTCAACACTATATCAGATGAAATATAAAATCTTGTCAATTGTTTATTTATTTCCAGACTTGTATATTTTACAATTGATATAATATTAATATAAATAATACAAGTGCATATTATAAAAAAATATTATGGCTGTTACTGCGCCACACGATCAAATTTCAAAAATAAAATTGATTGTTTTAAGCATTATTTTGTTGAAAAAAAAAAAGTTCAAAATTTTAATCTTTTGAGTAAATGCATGTTCTATTTGTTGTCTCAACTGTAAATAATAGTTGACCTACAAAAGGCAAATAATTTAATTGTCAATCTATATTATTTTGTGTAAAATTTTTTTGATAGTAAAAAATACAAATAATTTTTAAAAATGAAAAACACTTTAAATGAGGGCAAAAATATGTTAAAGAATTTTTTCAACAAAGCAGCCAATAAGCATCACAATGATGTTTCTACTGACAACAAAAATGACAATGATGAAGATCCATATATTCGATATAATTATTATGGAGAATGTCCAACCTGCAATAGATATAATACTAATTATTCATGGTGTCAATCATGTGATCCAAAACTATTAACTGAAGGATGGACTAGTGGCAATGAAACATTAGATGAGTTGATTAAAAGTACACAACTTAAAGCAACTAAGTATGATAATCATTATCATCTTCAATGGATTCCTTATAATGATTTAACAAATATTGAAAGGATATGTGAAGGTGGATTTGCAACTATATACAAAGCTACTTGGTTAAATGGTATGAAAGATACATATAATCATGGTGAAAGAACTATTGAGGATAGGACTGTGGTATTAAAAAAATTAGATAATTCTCAAAATATTTCTGATGAATTTCTTAATGAGGTAAATTATTTTATTATTATCAATTTCAGGTGTTATTTATTGTTGTAATTAAATATTTTATTTGTTATTTTAGTTTAAAAATTATACAAAGCTTCAAAATAAAATAGAAATAGTTCATATTTATGGATTAGCACAAGATCTAATTACAAAAGAATATGTATTTGTAATGGAATATATAAAAGATGGAAGCCTTCAAAATTATTTAACAAAAGAATTTAAAAATTTAAAATGGCAGAAAAAGATTGGAATTCTTAGAGAAATTATTAAAGGTTTAAAAGACATTCATAAAGAAGAAATTGTTCATCGTGATTTTCATAGTGGTAATATTCTTCAAGGTTATTTTTCACATATTACAGATTTAGGATTATCATACCCAGCTAGTCAAACATCTTCACCAAACAAAGATGGTATATTTGGAGTACTACCATATGTTGCACCAGAAGTTTTAAGGAAGAAACCATATACAATGGCATCAGATATATACAGTTTTGGAGTTCTGATGTCTGTAGTATCTACCGGCCAACAACCTTTTAATGATTTGGCACATGATATAGATCTTGTAATGAGAATATGTGATGGTGTAAGACCTGGATTTTCAAACAACACACCAAAATTCTATATTGAACTAGCATTCAGATGCATGGATGCTAATCCAGATAAACGTCCAACTGCTAATGAAGTTTATAATATTATGGATTTTTGGAATGACTCATTTAAAAATGAAGTAATAAATAATCCTAAAATTTATAGATATTCAAAAGAACAGAAGGATGAATTAGAATCAATCAGAAAAATATTTGATAAAATGGATGAAATAAAATTTGATCCTTCAACAATTACTCCAGTAATTCATCCAAATGCAGTTTATACTAGCAGATTATTAAAATTTGAAAACCTTCCCCAACCTGTGAATTCCAACAAAGTAACAATTATTGATGATAACTATGGTAATTATTAATCATTGATTATTTCATTTTTATTAATTTTAAATTTATTAATACTTATAATATCCACTTTTGTGATAAATATTATTTTAGAAACTCAACAGATTGAACTAACCATACCAGATGAATTACCTGAATAAGGTTAATTAAAATATAAAATCTTCAATTGTTTATTTATTTCCAAACTTGTATTTGCATATACAATATTAATATAAATATATTAAAAAAATTATATGGAGGACAACTTTCCGTTGCTGCGCCACGAGGTCAAAATTAGACATTCTATTTGTTTTAATTCATATAAGCATTATGATGAAGAAAAAAAAAGATTTTTTTACCATGCCCAAAATTTTAATCTTTTGAGTAAACATACAAAAAGCAAATATATAGTTAATTATCAATGTAAATTAATTGTCAATGTTGAAGGAAGAACTTGACTAAAATCTAAAATATTGTGTTCATGTGATATACAATTGTGGCTAAAATAGAAAAATAAAAATTTTTTTTTTGAAATTATATAAAAAAAAATACAAATAATTTTTAAAAATGAAAAACACTTTAAATGAGAGCAAAAAGATGTTGGTGAATTTTTTCAACAAAGCAACCAATAAGTATCACAATGGTGTTTCTACTGACAACAAAAATGATGACGAAGATCCATATATTCGATATAATTATTATGGAGAATGTCCAACTTGCAATAGATATAATACTGATGAATCATGGTGTCAATCATGTGATCCAAAACTATTAACTGAAGGATGGACTAGTGGTAATGAAAAATTAGATGAGTTGATTAAAAGTACACAACTTAAAGCAACTAAGTATAATAATTATAATCATCTTCAATGGATTCCTTATAATGATCTAACAAACATTGAAAGGATAGGTGAAGGTGGGTTTGCAACTATATACAGAGCTACTTGGTTAAATGGCATGAAAATAACAAATGTTAATGGTGAAAGAACTACTGAGGATAGGATCGTGGTATTAAAAAAATTAGATAATTCACATAATATTTCTGATGAATTTCTTAATGAGGTAAATTATTTTATTATTATCAGTTTCATATTTTTTAAAATATTATTATTATTCTTGTAATTAAATATTTTATTTGTTATTTTAGTTCAAAAATTATACAAAGTTTCATGATAAAGTAGAAATAGTTAAAATTTATGGATTAGCACAAGACCCAATTACAAAAGAATATATATTTGTAATGGATTATATAGAAGATGGAAGTCTTCAAAATTATTTAACAAAAGATTTTAAAAATTTAAATTGGCGTAAAAAGATTGGAATTCTTCATGATATTATTAAAGGTTTAAAAAAAATTCATAAAGAAGAAATTGTTCATCGTGATCTTCATAGTGGTAATATTCTTTATTCTCGTAGTGTGTATATTACAGATTTAGGATTATCATGCCCAGCTAGTCAAATATTATCATCAAACAAAAATGATATAATTGGAGTACTACCATATATTGCACCAGAAGTCTTAAAAAAGAAACCATATACAGCAGAATCAGATATATATAGTTTTGGAGTTCTGATGTCTGTAGTATCAACTGGCCAACAACCTTTTAAAAATTTGGCACATGATCTAGAACTTGCAATGAGAATATGTGATGGTGTAAGACCTGGATTTTCAAACAACACACCAAAATTCTATATTGATCTAGCATTCAGATGCATGGATGCTAATCCAGATAAACGTCCAACTGCTGATGAAATTTATAATATTATAGATCTTTGGTATAATTCATTTAATGATGAAATAATAAATAATTTTAAAATTTATAGATATTCAAAAGAACAACAGGATGAATTAAAATCAATTAGAAAAGAGTTTGATGAAATGAATAAAATAAAATTTGATCTTTCAACAATTACTCCAATAATTCATCCAAATGCAGTTTATACTAGCAGATTATTAAATTTTGAAAACCTTCCCCAACCTGTGAATTCCAACAAAGTAACAATTGTTGATGATAACTATGGTAATTATTAATTATTGATTATTTCATTTTTAAAATTTATAATACTTATCCATTTTTGTGATAAATATTTTTTTAGTTTCTCAACAGATTGAATTAACCATACCATATGAATTAGCTGAATAAGTTAGTTAAAATATAAAATCTTGTTATTTATTTATTTATTTCCAAATTTATATATTTTACAGTTAATTACATAATACAATAAAACATTATATTATGGGCAGCTATGGTGTTACAAATTATAATAAACACATAGTTGAGCACACATAAAAAATTAGAGCTCCGAACGAGTCGGGTCAGTGGTTCAACCCGACCCGACCCGTCGGGTCAACGGGTCACAGATTAAGAAAATTACAAATGTAGATATATTAATTGATTTAAATA